TTGTGACTATCAGGTAACATCCTATTGGAATGCCCTAGCAAACCACTAGCTTCCACCAACTCAAATACTGAAATGTCATGAGATAGCATTTGAGGCATTTATAACAGAGACTTCCCACTTTGCTGTAACCCCTCCACCTGATGAGTCTGCTGGTATTTTAAAGATACCTTGATTTGTGACTTTCTTTTCTTCTGTTAGTATAAAAGCCTTCATGAAATTGTTACCATGTTGGAACATGGTGTTTTGGACAACCATGTCTCTGAGCTATGGCCAATCCTGAATATACATCCCTTGGAAGTGAGATTTCTGTTTTTGTATTGATGCTAGTCATCATTTAACTTCTAAGACCTGTCCTAGAACCTAGGTTGTTTTTAAAAAGTTGTCTCAGAATGCCCCCAAGTGGGCAGAAGTGAAAATTTTCAGAACCTCCTAATATTTTAATGGACCTAACATTTCACATAGCTTTGAAATTTAAGCTCTCTAGCCTCTTTTTCTTACATTTAACTTTAAAGATCACTAATTTTGGATATTGTGCAGGTGAACAAAACAATAAGTATCTCTCACTTGCTTTGCTGTAAATATCTTCTCTGATCTGTGGGCTATGATGATGATGGTTGCCTAGATTACTTTTCAGGGATTTTGTTAAAAGTACTAACTCTTCTATTGGGACTTTAGACTGTAGAAAGATGACTAAAACAGAATCTGAAAGCTTGCCTGCTATTTCAGTCATCAATTGTATTGGCATACTGTTACCAGATCTTCGAGTCAGATTATTTCCGCTAATCTTGGCACATGGATATATTAGTCATCTAGGGAGTGGCAGTACAAGGTTAATTTACTCCAAAATTTCCTCATCTCTCCATTCCCCTTCAGGACTGAATATCTCAAGATTTACAGAGACATCAAGATCCAGATCATCAACTGCTAGGTTTTACAACATCTCACTTTCCCACTCATCAGCCCTTTCCTAATATAAGCCCCTTTCTTTCTTCCTTGCCAAAGTCAAAAATGATTCAAATTTAGTGCAGAGTTAAGGTGGTCATTTCTGGACCCTAGCCACCACCACGCCTTGATGCCTTTCTGAATAACTCTTTTTTTTCACCCCAATAACTCATCTATGGTTCACTAGACCCCTTTTCCAACAACCTATGTAAATGGACTAGGATTTAGTAATAATTAATTTCTTAATGTCACTACAAGAGAAAAGGGGGCTATCAACTGCTGGTATCAACTCATTTGATGCTTAGTATTTCTCTTTTATATTTATTATAAGTATACTGTTAAAACTGCATAGACATTCCTATTTTACAGATGATCCTGCCTTCAGAGATGTGTCTTCTAATACATATGCCATTCTCTACGTCTCAGAAACAGAGAATGACCTATAGTCTGTGATTTGTGGATGCCTTGATTTCTCAAATATTACTGTTTTTAAATGAGTGAATAAACTAGTATATAAGAATGTTACCATTTCATTTTAAGTTGGAGAATACTTCCACTGGTACCAATGCCTTCCTGGCAAGGACAAGACACTAATAGTACATTCTCAGTAATACAAAAATTAGGTTTCTTTAATTATTTAAAAAAGATTTTGCCCATAGCTCTTTTCTCTATATGCTTATGCATGTGTGGTATATGTGGTCAATTTATTTCAGTTCTATACTATAGTTTGAATTGATGTTACAACCACAAAACCATAAAATTTAAAAATATATTTAAAATATATGTGAACCTTAAATGAGTTAACCTAAATGCTTGTGTTACCATCAATTCTCCTGACTCAGTTGCAGTAACAGCAACATCAATAGCTATGGTCAATTACTTGTACAAACACAAACAATGACAACTATATCAGAATTGCAAACAGGATTACTATTATCAATAGTAAGAAGCTATTAAGCCAGGAGTGGTGGTGCATGCCTATAATCTCAGCACTCAAGAGACAGAGACAAGAGGATGGTAAATTCATTGCCAGGCTGTGCTAGACAGAACAATCCTGTCTTAACACAAAATAAATGAATAAATAAATAACAGAGAGCAGTTGTTGAGTATAAAGTACATACTGACTCCAGGGAAGTTATGCGAAAAGAAGTGGACACATTCATGTCCCTTGAATATGATCTTTAGAACACTAAAAGCATACAGTACTTCTTTAACATGCATCACTTCATTTAATGTACTTTACGGCACTTTTAGTGTTAGCCATGAAGAATCTGAGACTGAGCGGACATAGATTACAAAACTTGCAGAATCTGAAATCAAAGCCAGACCAGTTCCAGGGGCTTTTACACGTTAGCAACATTTTACTAAGGGGGTGAAGAGGCACATCAAGGGACTGCCACTGAAGTCACGTTCCTGTTTCTACTGACAATCAGCAGACACGGGCCCATTTTTCAAATGTGTACAATTAATAAAGAAACATCATTTCCTGCAGGCCATGGAACCAGCTATGTTTTTCTAGGTCAGTTATGAATGAACATAGACAGAGCTTCAAAATATTGGGGAGCTAAGTCCACTGTGTAATTGATATCACATGGACTTTTGCTGTACTTTAACACTCACTATTTTCCTTACAAGTCCTAATTCAACTTCGTTTCCTAATTCTTTTCCTTCCATACTCATCTCCTCTGCTTATCTCCCTTCCACAGCATTTATCTGTTTTCCATAACTATCCCTCATAGTCATCAAGATTGTTACTGCCCCTGGAACTCTGTTTGATTCTCCCCTCTGCCTAGAATGTTCTACAGGCAGCCCTATCTTCCGTCAGGTCACATACAACCTCCTCATAAAAGCACTCCTGACCAGCCAATCTCAGTAAACTAGTTCAAGATTTTTTATGTCATTTTTCTGAAATACATACACATACACATGTGTGCATATGTGTTTACATGTGCGTATTTTACATAATTATATGTGTGTGTGTATATGTGCATCATTGGCCTGCAGCCCTCTAAGATCACAGGCATTTTCTGCCTCTCTCACAGGTATATTTTTTAAGACTTATTTATTTTCATTTTATATGTATTTTGCCTGCAAGGATGTAAGTGTACCACATGTATGAAATGCCTGTAGATGCCAAAAGAGGTCATCACATTTCCTGGAACTGGAGTTTCAAACAATTGTGAGCTGCCATGTGGGTTCCAGGAATCAAACCCAGGTCCTTTGGAACAGCAGTAAGTGTTCCTAACCACCGAGCAATATCTCCAGCCCCTTCACAGTTATAATTTTGATGTTTAAACAAGTCCTATATATTAGGATATCTAAAACAAGACACATGGTCAGTTTATATTTGCTGATTAAATAAATTATATCACTATATCAAAAACTCTGATACAATGGAAATAAAAATAACAGACTATTAGTAAACTAATATTATATAATTTATTTGAGGAAAGTACAAAACACCTCTACTGATTACTGGTAACCTATTGTAGTCAAATTCTTTCCAGTGAAGACAGCACGTTCTTGTACTCGTATACCTGCCCTCAAATCTGCGGGAGTCTCTCCCTCTCTTCGTAGGTCATTGGCCACTGGCCCACGAGGGCAGGGAGAGCAGAAGCGGCGAACAGGGTCAGGACGGCCAGTGAGCACTGATGGAAGAAAGCCCTTCCGGGGAGACTGGTCCCAGGTGCAGTGAAGCAGCAGTGATACAACTCCAGACACAGTGAAACAGCTCTGTTTATTAGTGGGAGAACTAGAGAATTTATAGTGTGGAGGCAGTAGCGAAAGCCTCAGTTGATAGGTGCTCATAGTATGGTTTATTTACATGTGGCAGTGGGCTCCTATCTTCCAGACTATCAGGCAATGCCTGATTATCATATAGAAAAAACCTGGGGGTAGTTTTTACTCCAGGTAACTATGCCAAAGGTCATGTTCCAGATAAGGTCAGGCATCCGTGCTTGGTGGCACTTTCCAGGTGAGCCAGGAAAAGAGCAGGAGGCCCCCTGCTGAAAAGGGGAGTCCTTCCATTTGGCGCCGAGCCCCTCAGGGCTATCCGGACATGGAGAACTACAACCCTAACAGCAGGGTTTCCCAACAAAATCCATGAGGGAAAACCCAAGATAAGTTCCTTTTACCCTAACTGCTCTAATGCTCTAAATTTGTGTCTTGTTTCCAGTCCTTAGGCACTAGGATCACAACTAAACCATCAGCTTCCCATTCCCAAACTGCTTTCAGACTACAAAGAACCCAAGTGAAAGGGCATTTCCTCTCCATACTGGTTCTTTGCAGAAACAAAGGAACGTTCTAAAATAAAATCTCCTACAATCCTTCCCAGAGTCTTATTAAATGAATTAGTAAGTCACCATCTCTAAAACTATTAAAATCAGTGTCTCAGTGGCACAGCTACACAACTCTGGATGCATCTTAGTCAAAGATATCACAGTGGGGCTGAAAGTTTAGCTCAGTGGAAGAGCTCTTGCACAGCATGTAAGAGGGCCTGGATATGATCCCCAGCACAAAAAATAAAACAAAACTATACATAGATTTTTTTTAAATCTCATTACTTGCCAGTTCTCAATTTATCATCGGTCAACTTTTTCTACTTAAATGCTTAGACTTCTTAGAGTATACCTCACTGATAGATGGTCACACATATATCTTTATTCAGCCTTCAATACTGAAAAAAGAATCTCATGATTTCTGAAAATACACTGGAAAATTACAGGATAAACTCTACTTTCTACTCTAAAAGGATGATGAACTAATCATCCTCCACACAGTCTTTACTTCTGAAATTTTCTCTGTGATTGAAATAATTTTGCATAATGTAAATGGTTTTATTTTTCTTCCATACTATTCTCTCCATAATTTTATGGATTTTGCTGTTGTTTTCTTTGTTGTTGCCCTTAATATTTTGCAGTACTATGGGTCAAACCCAGGACTTCGTACATGTAAGCAAACACTCTACCGCTGAGCTACTCGTCCAGTCCTCTCTAGTTGTAAATATTGCAGTATCGCATGCTCTAACACTTGACATCTATAATAAACATAGATTCTACTCAGGTAAACACTCTTTTCTTCAAAGTCTTTCTCACTGCAATGTGGACATCCTTATTCCTCAAACTGTAGATGAAAGGATTCAGCATTGGACCCACAATGGTATAAAATACTGTGGATATTTTATCTTCATCCACAGATGCAGTCGAAGGCTTTAGATACATGAATGCTGAGGCTCCAAAGAAAAGAGAAACAGCAATTATATGAGAGCCACAGGTACTGAAGGCTTTTGACCTTCCCTCTGCAGAATGGATGCAGGAAATATTAGAGATAATCAAGGTGTAGGAAATAAAGACAGTCAGGCTGGGCACTATCACATTCACACCCACCACAATGAAAACCACCAGCTCGTTGATGGAGGTGCTTGTGCAGGAGAGCTTCAGGAGAGGCGGTATGTCACACATGTAGTGATTGATGATGTTGCCATCACAGAAGGTGAGTCTCAGTGTGCTGCCAGTATGTGCCATGGCACCCACAAACCCCATCACATACACACCCACCATCATCAAGAAGCAGACCTGAGGGGACATGATGACCTTGTAAAGCAGGGGATTACATATGGCCACATATCGGTCATAGGCCATTGCTGTCAAAATGTAGCATTCATCAATAACAAAGAAGCAGAAAAAAAAGAGCTGAGTCATGCACTCAGCATGGGAGATGAGGTTCTGTGTCACAAAACTCACCAGCATTTTGGGGGTTATGACGGAGGAGTAGCAGAGATCTGTGAAGGAAAGGTTGAAGAGAAAGTAGTACATGGGAGTGTGCAGGTGAGGATTCAAAACAATCAGAACAATCAAGCCCAGGTTCCCCAGCACGGAGACCACATAGACTCCCAGGAAGAGGAAGAAGAGAGGCAGCTGGAGCTCTGGCTGCTGTGTTAAGCCCAGCAGGATAAACTCCTTCACAGTGGAGTCATTGCCTGAGGCCATTCTTCCCCAGGTCCTTTCTGTGAGAAAAGGAGAAACAGTAATGTTAAAATGAGATCCCACTCCTCTCCAGCCCATCACATTAAAATGAGATGAAGAACCAGAACAGAAGGATGAATTCAAGCCCACCTTTCTCTCTGCCTTTGTTTTCTCCATTTTATGAAACTGAAAGTACAGAGATGAACATAAAATAAATATACGGAAGGCCATTTCTGTGGGAACAAGATTTGGGGTGCAAATGAGCACTCTTGGCTCTGCATCATCCTTGCTCTCCTTCTACCCTGACTGTCCACCTCCCACATCAGGCTCAGTGGAGATCTCAGCAGAGAAGAGATGAGGCATGTCAAGGACCCAGTGGCTCCTTCAGAAGTGGTTTGGAAAAAGAACAAGAGTACATACGTACCCTTGTACCTGGCGACTGCATGAGACCTTGTTAACTCTTCTCTACTGTCACAGAGGGGCAAGTATAAGTGGTGCTGATGGACTTTAAAGATATATAGCTCAGAAAAAAATACTTTATTCTGTTGTTATTAGGTCAGGGGATCTGTGGTGGTGAGGAAAATGAATTTTAGCCTGAGTGAACCAGAGCACAGCCCTCACACCTGGAGGTTCGGAGAAGCCATGAGTTACAAAGCGTGATTTCTGGTGGTGGCTTTGCCCAGTGTGTCCTCTCCAGCCTATGGGTTAATAAATAGCACCCACTGATGCAAAAAGAATCATATGCTAATATGTCCCAAGGGGTTTCCATGAACTTCTAAATGCTAGGGACCTGATTAAAAATTTAAAGACCTATGTTTACCAAGGTTTACCCCAGAGATCAGGATTTGAAGCCAAACATACTAGCTTCCTAGCACTTAAAGACTAGTTTGGTAAAAATGGAACTATCTTCTTGGTGGTATATAGTTTTATATTTCTTATTCCTACCAATTTGGGCACTTTCCAAATAGAAAAGCAAGAAACCTGTCCGATATGCAGTGGTTTCTTCCTAGTTCCCATCATTATAGAAAATTCTATCCACTCATGCATTTGTTTATAGTGTCTTCTCTCAAGACACATCCCCCATACATTTGAGTCCAAGTTACAAAATGCCAAGGATTTTATCTTCTTTCTTCAAAACTACTTCTGCATCACTTAAAGCAATACCCGACACAGACAGTGGATGCCCAATGTAGGCATGAATGGGGGAGGATGGAGAAATGACTCAGTGGTTAAAAGAACTGGCTGTTCTTGCAGAAGACCTGGGTTCGCATCCCAGCACCCACATGGAAGCTAACAACCGTCCTTAACTCCAGTTCTAGGGGATTCAACACCTTCTTCTGTCCTCCTCAGGCATGACACTGCACGACACAGGTGCACTTACCTACATGCAGGCATAATATTTATATACATAAATTTTTTGAAAAATTAAGAATGAATGAATGAATGAATGAGGATTCCTTTCTCATTTTTCCAAAAATGCACATAGGATATGACACAGAATCTTTGCACCACAGGAAAAGGCTTATGGGGTGTCAATGCTTTTACTTATAGACAAGAACATGAGCAGAGACGAATGCAAAGACCACAGCTGAGCTCTCAGAGTCCATCAAAGGGAACTCCAGATTAGAGCTACTAACTCAGAAGAGCCTAATGTTTCTCTCCTTCCTGAATTGCTGAGAATGCACAGTTGCGCAATGTCTTTCCCATACAGCTGTAGATCAGGGGCCAATTTGCAACACTGCAATAAATGTAAAGACGTTCTGAAATACCAAAACCAAGGAGTTCTTCCTTTTGAAAAGCCACTGCAAAAGATTAAAGGTTTTTATTCCTTTTGTGTCACAGAACAAAACAACTGCAGTACTTAGATTAATATTGAGGGAGAGTACAGGAAAGAATATCAGGTAAGTTGCTATGGCAGTGCAGTAAGCAGTGAATGGGAAAAGAAAAGGGTGGATGGGGAGGGGAAAGAAAGGAAAGGAGAAAGGAAGGGAAGTCCCTGATGTAAGAGTACTGAGTGAGCAGTGGGGGCTGATGGAGAGATGGCTCAGTGGTTAAGAGCACTGGCTGCTCTTGCAGAGGACCCAGGTTCAGTTCCCAGCACCCACATGGCAGCTAACAACCTCCAGTAACTCCAACTCCAGGGGATCCTATTCCCTCTACTGACCTCTGTGGACATTGCACTCATATGTACACACAGGCAGACAAAACTGAAATGCATAAAATAATAATAAATAAATAAAACTTTTTTAAAGAGTAGTGCTTTGGGAAGTTCCGGTAAACAGTGTCTAAAAGACACATTGCTAGGGATGGACTCAGCAAGACTTCTCACAAAAGGGTACAAATAAAGAACAAAAGTTTTTTTCTCCAAGATGCTAACCTTGAGCAAATTATGCTGTTCCCAAAAGCATAAATTAGAAAGAGTGAAAATATTGACCAAAATTTTGCATTCAGTCACAACTGGACACAGAAGGACAAGACGCGGTCAGAATCCTCTAGATAAGAAAGTATAGACTTAACAAACTCATTGGAAAGTAAATAAAGTGGTAGAAGGGAAAATTGGAAATCCCTCCATCATAAATTTTTATATTTAAGGTAGAGCAACTGGTAAAATGAACTGCAGTTATTATTCATAACACTCCAAAATTACTAAGGGGCCAAAAATACCTTAGGGTAAACTTGGATTGTGCCCCACAGGACAGACATTCCTTAGAGTACAACAATGATAAGAACTTGGAAATTCATTAAAACATGCTTTATAGGAAGTGTTAAGCACTCTTTTTGGTTTGGTTGGTTGTGTTTTTTTTTTTTCTTTTTTATTCTTTCTTTGAGAATTTCATACAGGCATACAATGTGTTTTGATCATATCAATCCTTCATTCCCCCTCCAACTTCTCCAAAACCCCCTCTACCATATCCTTCTCCCAACTTCATGTCCTCATTTCAGGTTCCTTAAAGATGGAATTTTGGACTGTTATTAGCTGCTAGGTGAGTGCTGAGAACCAAACTCTGGTCCTCTGCAAGAGCAGTGCTCTTAATTGCTAAGCCATCTCTCCAGCCCCAAGCCTTCTTTTTTAACTAAGGCATTGTGATGAATGTGGTAAGAGAATGGAAGAAGTCAGCAGGCACACAGACTCTGCTTGACAAATACAATTTTAAACACATTACAATAGTGAGATAAATATAGAACAAATATAAGTGTTGAAGTGTCTGTTAAGAATGGAAGAAGTCAGCAGGCACACAGACTCTGCTTGACAATACAATTTTAAACATATTACAATAGTGAGATAAATATAGAACAAATATAAGTGTTGAAGTGTCTGTTTGATATAATAATTTTACTAAGATACAATTAAACTTCTTAACTGATATTCTCTTCTAACTCATAATATCTTCTAACAGTAAAATCCTGTTTTAGAACTTCTCAAAAATCATATATTCACATGAATATAAAGATTATAGATAAAGAAACCTAACCCTGACAAGCACAAATCCACTGAAGAATATCTTCCTTGAACCCGTTCAAGGTAGTGATGGACAGTAGACAATGTATCTTCTGTGTAACATACACAATAAGAAAATTTGTAAAGTATAAATTTTCTATGATTTTTAGTATAATTATTTTAGTTACTCCAAAATATGGTACAATTGTGAAATTCTTCAGTCTCACCATCGAAGAAAAATAATCACATATTAAAATCAAGATGAAAGTTTTCCTCATAGCTCACTGTCTTCTACACTTTAAAGTCAGATTTTTGTCAGGGCCATTGCATTTTTCACTTGGCCATCTCTCTGCTGTGTGCATCTTGGCCCAGGGTGTCATCTGAATTTTACCTCTACTTCAAGCTCATTCTGAAATGCCTTTCAGACTGGAGATGTAATTCAGTGGTACAGAACTCTGCCCAGCATTCAAAATCCTGAGTTCAATCCCCAGCATCAAAAAATAAATAAAATAGAATAAACAACCCCACAGAACTTCTCTAAGATGTGTTGCAATCCTCCTTTCTTTCCTTCTGTTTCTCCACAGAATGCACAATGGGTTGAAAAGCTGAGCTCTGCAAGAAGTCATATCACTATTCCTTAAACAATGCCCCTTTGGAAGAAGATGCAAAAATAATGATTCAACTTCAAGATGTCTTGAGATAAATGCTTGTGAAGGATGAAATCAAAAGGAACAGGAATCAGTAATGAAGGCTTTGGACCAACACCTAGAAAGATGAGAGAGAAATGAAAGAATGGGGTCAGAATCTCAGGTATAGAGGGCAGCTTTAGGTCTGAGGCAGGGTGACAAGAAGAAAAGCAAGGACTCCCTATCAGAAGAGACCTACGCTAGGCAGAACTTGCCAGGCCTAACACATGCCACCCACCATACTTGGTCATTGGCTGGGAGTCTCAGAGTAACCCAGCCCTCTGCTGAGCATCAAAATGTATATAAAGAAGCTGCGCTCTTCATGGCTGCTTCTCATGCTAGGCAGCCAAGAAGACGTCTCAAAGGCTACCATCTTCCACCTCCTAAAGACAAACTCAAAACTTTCTATTTTTTATTGTCATTAGTTATTGTTTTTATTATCACTTATGGTAATAAATATTTACTGGTACAAACCAAACACACCCAAAATCCATAGATGTTTCTTAATCTCAAATACACCTGGTATTATAAACATATAGATGGAAAAGAACATTGGAGAAGTAGAGAAATTATATGAAACAGCCTCTAAGTTAAATGTACTTTGCATCATGTTAAAAAGTTTAAATGCCTGGACACTGGTTCAAGTCCATCTGGTGGGGTCTCCATGGCCTCCCTGAAGAAGAGGACAGGTGACTCACTAGGGTTACAGGACATTTTGAGAGATGCTCCACAGTCCCCTGGAACTTAGTCGACCTTGGAGGGCAAGGAGCAAAAACTGTCCTTTAAATCCCTCTGACCAGATTAGTAGAGGCCTCAAAGTACAGTTGTTAAACAGCCAAGAAGGTTAGTTCCATCAGTCTGGTACTTTTAATTACCATGTGCTATGTAGAGAAAGCTTGGGCAAAA